AAAAAAACGGAGACCACCTCCAGTGTTGGGCTTGACATGCTCTATCAAATGCAAAAAACAAGAGGTCTCTAGCATTAACGACTCCAGAATTAGAGAGAGTTTTATGTTTCAGCATCTAATGGCCGCTGCTCCCGTGAAAATGCATCGATTGACTCGAAACTCACAGAGATGAAAGATAACCTGAAGGGTAACAACTACCAAAAATATTAGAGGTTAGGTCTGCGTAGTTTCTGAATATCAGCACAAATAATTTTTTTTTCATAAAAAATTCCCTTTTTTTGAAAATTTCGGCCTGTTTGACCTTGAAATAAAGATCAAAGGTCAAAGGTCAAATCCAAGGGCATATTTGGAATCCTCATATGTGACTTTCGGTCAGACTTGTATATTAATTTTTCCCATAATTCCTTCAGTTTGGGAGATATATAGCATTGAATTTTCAAAAATTTTGACAAGGGTGCATTTCAACGAGCGTCACGCCCAGGCAATTGCACCGATCGAGACAAAAAAACCAGGGGGTTCAAGTTGAGATTATATGTGACCTAAATCCAAGAGATGGGGACACAGGCCCATGCAGTCTAGGAGGAGAAGCGGTAACGGTGACTTGTATCCCACGCCACCCTGCGGAGCCGGCGGAGCTTACGGAGCCGGCGGAGCCGTACGATACGGGTCGGGACTAAAACCATGAGTACCGCCAGCGTACACGCTGGTGGTACTAATGATCACAGGTCTTTTCCAATTACCAATTTTAACCAACTCTCCACCTGAAAATTTCCATAATTATTTTTTAAAAATGATCCAAAAAATATTTGCCTAAAGACAGTGAAAATATCTGGCCATTTGTCAATCTATTGTTGATATAGTTAAAGATAGTTTTTTAGCCAATGAGCAGGACAATGGTAATTATTTGTGTTAAAGCAAAATATGTTTGCATAAACATTTAAGTAACATATAGGGCCACTTTAGACCTTTCTGAATTTGCCAAGCAGCAGAATGGGTCTAACTGTTTGACTTGTCTCTGTGGTGCAAACTATACTCAGATATATTACGAAATCTTTAAAATCCACATCCAGATTTATTATGTCTGTCAACAGATGATCACTAAAGCAATGGTAACACTGCCTCTTTATGATGACTTAAGATGGTCATTGAGTGTTCACTTGAGTGATGACATGACCAGCATAGTAATCAGCTATTAACTGGGTTTATAAGAGTGCAATCACAATGAAACTATTGAACTAGGTAGATCAATCCAACTCCTTGTAGACTCTCGCTGAAAGCAATTAGATTAACTGAACTTTTGTGTGCCGTTTGAGTGGATCGATTTACTTCGTACATTTTTTCATTGTGAACACATCCTTAGTCTAGAAATGGATTAAAAAATTGCACATATTAGCATGTTAACTACATGTAGGATGGTATCTATAAACCTATTCTCACCAGGTAAGGTGATGGTGCATTGTCATCAGACAGGTTGTTGAAGAAGAAAGCTGTCACAGGCAGGGAGATGTGTTTTGGGCAGAAGGAACCGCTGGCACCAATTTCGGCAGTGAAGCCTGCAACTGTCCCTGCTGGCATGATGCGACCATTTAGTAGAGATTCCTAAAACCAGATATTAGAGTTACTAACATTTGGATAAAATTGAAAATATACAAATAAAAGATCGATCAAAGCTTCAATTTCAATCAATATGAGCAATTTTTTTAATCTTTAAACTTAATCCACAGCTGGATTATTCAAATGATCAAAAACCTGAGTTTTCTGTAACATCTATGAATTTCTGTTGGGACAAGCTACCATTTCCAAACAATTTATGAAATTATAATATATGAAATAAAATTATTGTACAAACTGCATAAAAATGTCCAACTTCCATACCATGTGTAAAAAAATATTGCTATAGTTTGTGAAATGAGAGATTAAATAACAATTCAAGAACCAGCACCTCAAAGTTTCCCAGTAAACTGTTACTGTTGGTTGAGGCAGGTGCACTTGTGCTGAGTATTCTCTTCTCTTGGTCAGATAGCTCTTTCCCCTCCTCCCCAGAGCTGCTCAGTGTTGACATGGACAAGGCACTGAACACAAACATTATTATAAAGTGAAACTGGCTGAGAAAATATTTGTCAGAAAAAAGGTATAACATTTTGTTTGGCATTTTGTGCTACAGACACAACGTTTGGGCACAAAGCTGTTGCAATACATATAGAATTCATAAATTTGAAATTTGAATAATTCAAAACGGAGACAAAATATGTGACACACTCAAAATATTGATCTTTTTCCAGTTGTTGCATTTTAATTTATCTTGAAACTTAAGACACATTTGAAACCTATTTGGAACATGTTGTGTCTCCTTACATAAAATTTAGATCATTACAAATGTGGCTCCATGGGAACAAAAGCTATTCTGAAGAGATTTTACCACATACTGTTACTTTTATTAGATACATATCAACTTCTTTAATTCTTCAACAGCCAGTGATCCAAAAAAATAAAACCTTTGAATCATCAGTACTTGACAGGAAGATTATCTTCTGAAAGACCACTCTTCCAAATGTAGGAATGTATGATTGGCAACTTTAGTCTTGAGGTTACATAACTCTAGATTAATTCTTGCTTTTACCTTTTGATTGCCTTTATATTTGTGAGGGAGTAGTCAAAATCAAAACTGCTAAATGTTCGTCTCTTCTGTGGAGCCTGAAATATCAAATTCCACATTTACTATTTCGACAATCAAACCCAAATCTTATCAATAACAGAATTTTTCAGAAAGACCGAATCCCAATATTTTTTTAAATATTCAAAAATATATTAAATGAAGCAAATATGGAAACAGCATACTTTAAAATATGGCAACACAAAAGTACAGCATCAAAAATGAATGCCACTTTTAAATATAAATACAGAAAAATAGTAACAAGTTGCAGAATTAATCAATACTAATCTTGTCCTTTTTTAGATTTTTTTTTTAGAAAGAAACTGTTTAACTTGAATTTTGTCACATATGCTTTCAAAGACAACAACAACTTTTTCTTCATTATATTTCCCCCTCTTCTACATATCTATCTTGTACTGCACACATCTCTCTCATTCTCATAACCATCTCCTCCTCCGAATACCCAAATCCTCACCTTTTAAAAACACAAAGACAAAACAAATATAGTTTTTAATTCTGATCATGTACTGAATCAGTGGATCATATTTTACTTACAGGACTGGACTGCATTGGTAATCCAGTCTGTGCATGGAACAACATAGAGGAACAGCTGCTGAGACTTCGTTTAAAGTTTTCTTTATCTTCTTGAGTTGGGATTGGCTTGCTTGTAGATTTTNACACCACCACCAGTCTTGTGTTTGACAAGCTCTATAAAATGCAATAAACAAGAGTTCTCAAAATATGCAACAAAGAAAAAAAAAATCGAAAAAACATAACAGTTAAAATGGTCCAATCAAGGAGATGTTCAAATTGACCTGTATTTTCCTAACACTGATCACTCCTGTGATTTTCAAGACAATAGGCCTATTGGTTTTCCTTGAAATGCATTATCAGTATTGCATATACCGGTATGCTGACAAAAGCCGCATGAGCCGGCGGAGCCGCAGGAGCCGGCGGAGCTGTACGAGACGGGTCGGGACTAAAACCATGAGTACCGCCAGCGTATACGCTGGTGGTACTAATAATTATTTCAAACTGAAATTCATACTAAGATAGATCCAGCATTCAAAAGTTAATGTTATGTAAAACTTTGGTTAAATTGTATAACACTTCAAAAATTATCCATAAAACAAGTATCATCACTTAAATAATCTCAATCAAAAGGATCGTTTTTTATCTTTAATCCACAGACATAATATAATATGTCTGGAAATCTGTCAGGGAATGTAGGACACTTTATCATGATCAGTAAGTGTTAACAGGAAATTGAACGTGTTCATGTCTCTATACACACCTGCTGAATAGTTATCAAATGTAATAAACAATTCAACGAACTTAATCAAAAATATACACATACGATATCAGCAAATGAACGAGATAAAACATGTTCTCTCGACCATTCATATGCAGGTGTGGCAGAGATTTTTAGCATTCTATTACTAGAAAATATATGATGACGAATTCCTTGTATTGCTTGTGACAAATGTGTTTTTCTGAAACATACCTATTGGAAATGAAATGGTAGTCTAAAGGACAAACCCAGTACAAATAGGGGGGGGTCGATTTGTTTGAGTTTTGATCCCCAGACAGTGTATAATATGTCTGGAAATCTGTAATATCAGGAAATGTAGGACACTTTATCATGACCAGTTAGTTTTAACAGGAAATTGAACGTGTCCATGTTTGCATACGCACCTGTTGAATAGTTATCAAATGTAATAAACAGAATTCTCCGAACTTTATCAAAAATATACACAAATGATTTCAGCAAATGGGCAATATAATTAAAACATGATCTCATGACCATTTAGATGCAGGTGTGGCAGAGATTTTTAACATACTAGAAAATAAGTGTTGACGAATTCCTTGTATTGCATGTGACAAACTTGATTTCCGAAACATACCTATTAGCCTTTTTCATCTTTTCCGGAAATGGAAATTGCATTGTGGGTAGGGGAGCCCTGCTATGTCGAAACACTTACAGCGGTGCTAAAAACCATGGCTGAGTTTACGTGCTTTTTGTCCCGCTGCTACAATAACAGTAAGCGATATCGACACATGAGGTTTAATTAGTTCCCAACAAACCCGTAAGAATGAAAAATATGGTAGAAAGAAAGGAAAATATAAAAGCAGGGCACCGCGTTTGCGCTGAACATTTCGAAGGCGGGAAGAAAAACTATAATATTAGGAGATTAACGGTGATTCAATAAAAAACAGAAATGCTTAGTTAATCAACGGATATAACGAACTATCGGCAAATAGAACTCGGGGGTAAACAATGCGAGGGAAAAAAAACATTATAAAGTTCTGAAGAAAAAATTGAAGAATAGGGGCCTAAAAAGAAAGAAAAGACTTTAAGCATGAGATTATGGAAAAAGAAAGTAAAAGGTGTGAAGTTTTACACGGGGATTCTAATTACAAAAAATTCAAGAACTTTCCCGACTTTTTGTGTAGCAACAAAGAGAAGGTTTGAAAAGTTTTGTATGTACAGGTAATATCCTTTTTGTGTGTGTTTTATTGATAAGTGATCATTTTAAATGTTGTAGGCCTATCACAGGTTTTAGTCTCTCATAACCCTTAGTAGGGTGGGTTCTATTTTTTTTTTAACGTGAGACGTTAAAAAGTTTTTTATTATTATGTATCCAGTCCCGCATACGTATTACTGATTTGTACAAACGGGGCTCATATTATCAAGATCAACAGAGACATACGAAGAAGAAAGTACATCGGCTCTTGTTGAACGCGTTATCGGCAAAATAAAAAGTCATTTATTTCTGAACTCAATGACAAGAGAATTGGAAAATTCAATGGGCATGTATTTACCAAAAAAAAAAAAAAAAGGAGAAAAGCCTTTCTGTAAGCTACACGTACAGGGTACATAATACATGTATGGTAAAGACAAAATGGATAATAAAAATCATCTAACAACGTAGGTAAACGTTGTAAAGTAATACAAATATGCTAAGTATTAAAGTAGGTCTACGTATATTTAACTGTCTTAGATAGTTGAAAAGTATGACATGTGTGGAAAACACTTTATTTGAATGATTTTATTGTCTTTTATTGAAAACGATGAAAATACGCATGAAAACATTTAAAAATCAAATAATTTGGCCTCTTGCTATAATTTTGTTTTTGCCTGACGGTCTTGTTTCAGTGTGACAAAATTTTCATACTTGTCAGACCGAAAGTCTCACATTTTTTACCTGTCGTAAATTTTGTACACATACTAGAGTAAGACACGGTAAACTTTAATTATCTTCTGGGAAAGAGTCGAGAATTCCTGTCTCATCTATTTAACACTTAAAATTAGAAGGTTTTAATTACAGAGGAAAGGTCGTAGTTGTGGCCGCCCCCCTTACCGAACAATTGAACAAGTAACACCTGATGCCTTATCAGGTACCAAACGATTTAATCAGTTCGCCGACGAACGATCTGCGTATCAGTTTTACCTGTATACTCAGTAGGTACGAGTCAAACAATGCAGGGAATCTTTTCATTTTATCACTTCAAAAATCTCTTAAGACATCCTTCAAACAAGACATAAAAATCGTAAAGAATTGACACTGCCGGTAAATGAGGTGATATCGCCACAGCTTGGATATGCAGGCCTACATGTAATATTGTGAAGACGTAGGCCTACGCACCTGTCCACACTCTTGAAAGCTGTGTACGAGTCTACTGGTTATTTTGATTTTATATATGAAAAAATAACGAGTCTCTTTCGCATATCTTTATTATCCGAAGCATTTAAAAGAACTCTGAAGCTTTAGTTCGTCATCAATATTGACAGTGCAGCCAAGGCTCGGACGCTTAGGTGAAGTCTAGTAATACAGCGCATCGTATTTAAACTGAGAAAGAAAACATTTAATTGCTTGATTCTCCGTCCAAATAGCTGTATCTTGCCTACAGTTTACGCATTTCTGTGCTTCAGCCACCTTTTTAGTTTGACAGAAAGCAATGCACACTTCATACGACCTTTTTATATGCGCACTTTGTACATCATCTACACCTAGCATTGCCATGCTGGAAACAGCAGAGGACCACCATGACCCCTGTGGCGCGCNTCGAAAAAAATATTCCATATTAAATGTCAAGTCTGTATTTTCAATCTAAAATCCTTACTTAAATGAAATAAGAATGCTAAAAATATCTTCATAGGTTACTTTTTTCACTGTGGTAGTTCACACACACACACATACACACACACACACACACACACCATTGTATTATTTCTAAATATGGGGCAAAAAATTTTATTTGAAAAAAAAGTTTAAAAAATGAATACCTTCATTTAATACATCGAAAGCAACAAAAACAAAGTATATTTTTTCCTCTTATTTCAAAAGAAAAAATATTTTTAAAATAATTATTACAAACTGAAATTCATACTAAGATAGATCCAGCATTCAAAACTTAATGCTATGCAAAACTTTGGTTAAATTGTATAACACTTCAAAAATTATCCATAAAACAAGTATCATCACTTAAATAATCTCAATCAAAAGGATAGTTTTTTATTTTAATTTTTAATCCACAGACATAATATAATATGTCTGGAAATCTGTAATATCAGGGAATGTAGGACACTTTATCATGGTCAGTAAGTGTTAACAGGAAATTGAACGTGTTCATGTCTCTATACACACCTGCTGAATAGTTATCAAATGTAATAAACAATTCAACGAACTTAATCAAAAATATACACATACGATATCAGCAAATGAACGAGATAAAACATGTTCTCTCGACCATTCATATGCAGGTGTGGCAGAGATTTTTAACATTCTATTACTAGAAAATATGTGATGACGAATTCCTTGTATCGCTTGTGACAAATGTGTTTTTCTGAAACATACCTATTGGAAATGAAATAGTAGTCTAAAGGACAAACCCAGTACAAATAGGGGGGGGGGGATCGATTTGTTTGAGTTTTGATCCACAGACAGTGTATAATATGTCTGGAAATCTGTAATATCAGGAAATGTAGGACACTTTATCATGACCAGTTAGTTTTAACAGGAAATTGAACGTGTCCATGTTTGCATACGCACCTGTTGAATAGTTATCAAATGTAATAAACAGAATTCTCCGAACTTTATCAAAAATATACACAAATGATTTCAGCAAATGGGCAATATAATTAAAACATGATCTCATGACCATTTAGATGCAGGTGTGGCAGAGATTTTTAACATACTAGAAAATAAGTGTTGACGAATTCCTTGTATTGCATGTGACAAATTTGATTTCCGAAACATACCTATTGGAAATGAAATGGAGCAAGCCCAGTTTACTGCACAAAAATTAGATGATTAATAAGGGTGCGCAAATTTACCTCATATAATTGCAGTCACCGTCTTTACCTCTATGGAAATCAATGTGGAAAATTACATTTGAGGATATGGATGTTCTTAATTTGAACAAATGGTATGAAATAAGGATATCTTCCCCGATGTTTTGGCTTTTCTTAATTAACCCTAAGTCATGTTATGGTATATATGGAATAAAAACACTATTTGTTATTATCATTAAAATGACAAAAGTGGGTTTTTTCGGTCATCTAATTATTCAATAATGCAGGGGCGGATGCAGTATTATTTGAAAGGGGGGGGGGGGTCCACGAATGCAAAGCCCCCCTCCCCCCCCCCCCTCCAACCTTGGCGTGGGGTTTGGGGTCTTCTGAAAGGCCCCGAAAATTTTTGTTATTTTAGAGGGCGAACGGTGCCATTTGGTACGGTTTAGAATTATGATTCAGCTAGTCAAAATTCTGATTTCAAGAGGGGACCATTGGTGTGATTTTTTTCAGAAATCGTAGGGGTGGTCACGACCCCCTGACACCCCTAAATCCGCCATTGATAATGCATCTACCATTTTACTGATTAAAAACAAACAAACAAACAAAAATCGCCTCGAAAATATAAAATATCAGCGTTCTTATTTATCGTTGCTAACCCCGGAGCGTTTAACGTCAATTTGACATATTTCCATTTTTTGAGGTGAGATGTCGAACGGTTTGGGGCGTAACTTCATTTCCGCATAAGATTTTATCATGAAAAATTGCCTAAGGTGACAACGAGTGTATGGGTTTCAGTCCCGTGCCATCATTTTAGTTTAAACGTTCTGTCATGGAGTTATGACCCCTAACTTACAATGACCCATTGAACAAAAGCATTATTTCTGAATTTGAAAGGCTTTGAAGAAAAATCGCTGGGAGGGTCTTAACGTTCTAAATGGTGTCATTAAATTGTTGTTGAAACGGTGTTTGTGGGTGTTCAGGTAAAGATTAAATTTGAGAAACCGAAATTGAAGATGAGACCGCAATAACAATTTTCATTTCTTTATTATTATTATTATTACTTATTATTATTATTATTTTGTGAAAACAATATTTTGCAGGCGACGTTAATCCTATATATATATATATATGGAGATGGTTTAATTTCGTTTTCTACACCTGTAATGACAAAATATTCTGCTAGGTAGAAGCACTAGGTTGCACCCAACTCCTTACAGAACAGCCTTACTCGCGTTTTATAAGGTTATGCGCCTTACAATATTATAATAATGTAAATTGTGTAATTCCTTTTAAGAACATAAAGAAAAAATGGATAGTTTAGCTTTCTTTCTGACTAGCATGATAGAGTAATTTCTGTATTTTTCTTGTAAAGATGCACGTGTTCGAATAATAAACATTTAACTCTAACATTTTCATCTTTTTTTTATTGGGCTAGATTTCCAAGGCAGTGGCAACGTGAACTCTGAATTATGCTAACCTAGGCCTGAAGACAACCTACTGGTGAAATATATACAATTTAAGTGCACCTGGAGGGGGGGGGGGGTCTGTTATCATCAGACCATTTTGAGTGAAAAAGTTGAAACGTTGGTGAAATATGTATGGGTTCTTCAGAATTTTAGTGCATTTTGGGGTATATATTAAGATTTTTTCATTGATACCTTTAAATAGTCATGCATGAAGGTATATATCTTATCCTGTTATTTTTAAGTTCTTTTTCGGTTATTATGCTCCCGTGTCATGAGGGGGAGATCCTCTTTACAATAAGCCAATACTACCCATCAATTCCATCTAGCAAAATGCATGGCATCATAATTAATTAAATTATTTATTCGGTATGCCAGGGTATGTTTACTAATGATTTTGGTGTATTTTTTAAAAAAATTTTATTGGACTTCAGACATAACCAAAATATACAAATATAAAACTGAGATATGTCACACAAAACGTATTACAGATACCTACATCCTCCACTTCTCAAGATTTTTACTGATATATGCATATCCTCTATGTTACCTGTACTAGTACATCAAATTAATGTCCAAGATAATTTCTCTATATGTTTGTCTCACTAAAGTCACACTTAAAGTTTTACAATGACTAGAATTATTGTTTTTCATTTCACCATGGTTTTCTGTTTTTGCATAATAAAATAAAACATCACCCAATTACATATTTATTCCATTCAAAATCACTCATCAATTCTACTTGGGTAGAATAATTAGGAAGTTGTTTCTTTAACCATATTAAAAAAATTCCATATTACAAGACAGCCTCGTACCAGTGGTAATATTTATCTTTTTTAAAAGCGTCTCCAATATTAGCTGACATTTTGTCACATCTTAGCCCAAGAAATGAACAGACTGTTATTGACTTAATCGATTTAAAAAAGGATTTGACTAAAGAATTTGACTATGAAAACATTTGATCAATTTTTACTATTTTGGTGAAATATTCTATCCTATTCATGCAATCCCATTTATGTGACCAATGAACACTGAATTCATGATACATATACTACCCAGTTTATGGGGTCAGTTAAACCATACAAGTGTAGTTCTCTTTGGAAAATGCTCATGATTGCTAAACATTTGTTCAATTGACAAACATGAAAAGGTATCATTCCTATTGAATCAAGTGAAAAAAGTGTAGTCTTGTTTGTACTCATTTCTTCTTTTTTAAATTTTGGTACATACGTCCTTTCTGAGAAACACTGTATGTCATTCGTATTGTATCACATAAAAACTTAAAGGGATAATAACTCTTCATATGAGATCTATATTTCACAATAAAAACATTGTAAACAACCCATAGAAATATAATATATTCTGTTTTACCACAAAAACAGCAGTTATAGCTATTATTCTGATATCTGAGCTTGTCATCAGGCTACGTAACCTCCATACATGGCTATACTCTGTAATAATCTCTTAAGAGATTATAACATAAAACCAAACTTTTTAGAAAAAAACCAGGGACTAACTTTGAATGTAAAAATAGATTCGTTAACCATGGGTAAGAATAGGGAAATTGTTGTTTACTCCGGGAAAATTCATTTTTTGTCCAAAATGAACAGTCATTATCCCTTTAAGGACAGCTCCATTTGTAAAATATTCATGTTTGCTTCTTCACTGTGGTACGTCTTTTCTGACAAAAACTACATCTTGCCCCCCTATAATGGTTCCTTCCCTGTACAGTTCTGTCTTTTTGAAAATCTCTCTGATTTCTTTCAGACGTATTGGTGTGCCAGGACCTCCGCCGTGAACTGCATATTCTATTGTCCACACATCCACGGTGACGTGGTCCCATGGAAACCCTTTGAGGAATTTCTATTTCGGCACCCTCCACATCCAAGGTAAAGTAGTCCACGTGCGTCCTGCCAATGGCGGCTAGGATAGAGCGAATGGGGAAACATTGTATGCGACTTTTCCCTTGTATTATGCCTCGTTCCGCCTTAGGAATTGTATGGCTGTATTCTTGTATTCCTCCAATCCCCCATGCGAACTGAAAATCGACCATTACAGGACTGCTGCCAGTTGATAAGCATGTATTAATAGTGTAACTTTTCCTAGAAAGAAGTGAAAATAAGACATAAGCATACAATCCAGGAAAAAGAGTAAATAAACCAACATTTTCTGAATCATGTGATATATATGTTCAAATTCAGCAAAACGTATATATTGATCAGTTAATGTTATAATTTTAAATTTTGAATACACATTCATATTGATGATAAGTATAGAATTTAGATAAAGTGTGGAGAGCTGCATGCCAAAATCATAATGACGTAAATTTAAAGCTCCATCGTACAATTTATTATTAATAAAAAACTTTGTGACATTCTATCACATTTGTTAATCTGTCCAGACTGATATCTTATTTTAGCACTATTGGAAAAAAAGTATGTATGAGAAAATAATAATTTGCATTTAAAGTGCATTTGATTAAAAATGAATTTGGTTCAACTAGAAGCAAGAACAACTGACATATTATCAAAGTACATGTATCATTGTTATACATAACTTAAAAAGACAATATCTATCTTGTGTCAAGTGACTCAAGTCGTAAAATATCCTTACCTGTTTTTGCTCAAAAGAGCTTCAAAGGCCCACGGGTTAGGCTCAACAAGTAATCCTTCCCAGTCTCGCAATTTCTCAAAGAAGAGGGAATTGGAATGAGCCTCGCCATTTAATGCTCCACATTCCACAAAGAACCCTTTGCGCCGTTGCTTCAGAATATTATCGACCACTTTTGATTGTCCTAATTGATTCCAGTAAGTTGCCTTTGGGTTGGTAAGATTATAGGATAGACTGGAAGGAGGGAGAACCCATTTCCCTCTCAAGTACTCTAAAAGGTCTTCATTGACAGGGTCTATGTTTCCGGTTCCAAGACGTTTGATAAATTCTGTAGTCATGAAGTTTTTGTGCGGCACTTCTTTTTTAGAATTACTCCAGAGGTTTGATAACTGATCCACTTTCACCTCACAAACTGGATGATAAATAATCATTGAAATACAAAAAACTATAATGATAACAGCAGGAACAGCATATGTCCATTTGTTCATCGTCATCATGTTTGACTAATTTTCCGTGATGTTCGTGCTGTTTATTTCTAAGGTCAACTGAAAATAGATCAGAAATAAAAAAAAGACATTTGATTAAATAATGCAGGGTGGGTGATCAAAATAGCAAAAAAAAAAAAAATATATATATATATATAGATATATATATATATATAATTGAGAAACACAAGAGAAGAAAGTCAAAGGACAGCTGAGGTTAAATCTGGAGCATTTTCAAGAAAAATGAACCAATGAGTTATTTAAGAGAATGGACACATAATAACACATCATTTTTGTTAATTAACCTATTAGAGCAATCCTTTAGCAAAATAAATGAGCATGATTTGTATATTGTATTTGCATATGTAGCAAACCTTTCAAATGGTGAGGATTTTTCCCCCTCCACCCCTATTATTTATGAATGGAACGCCACACCCCTTCAGCACTTGCAAGGCCCAAAAGTCCCTCATATTGTAAAATAAACTGTCAAATTCTCATAATACCCCTTACATTTTAACCAAGATATAAGAAATTATACAAAACATTATTTTTCATTTCCATTCTCTTAATCAAATAACTTTTTGGTTAATTTTTCCTAAAACTGCCTCAAATTTGACCTCAAGTTACCTCTGCCCTTTGACTTACATTAATAGCTATATTACTCAATGACATATAATTTTTCTTTATCTATATAGCACAGTTCTTTATCCTATAGCACAGTAAGTTAGTATAATTTGTATTCATATGTTTAGCATTTTTCCTTCCCTGCCCCCTATTATTCATCTAATTGTAGGAGTAAAAAAAGCTTCTTCCTTATAATTCCATTGGTCAGTGATATTGTTAGATTTTTATTTTGTTTCTGAATCAGTCTGTATGCGTCTATTCGTTAAATAACACATGCTCAAATAAAAATGTCTTAATAAATGGACAATACTGCAATTTTATTCAAAATATTCAGTAACAGGTTGGGTGGACAATTGTCCATCAGTGGTCAATTCTATATCCTGAGACTCTATTTAACAGCTGTTATTAAGAGTTACATAATACATTACCAGTCCAGATAGCTGTACATTAGGGGTGTGGCATTTGGTTATGTCTACCTACTATTACCCACCACTCAATTGTCTGTTGATGGTCATTCTAGCTTCCTGGGACTCTACTGAACATTTTCCAGTTATTTCTAAGGGTTAATTTTTGGGGCATGCTAGTTGTATACATTATAGGTGTGGCTCTATGGGCGTGTCTGTCAGGTACTACACACCACTTAAATTGTCTGACCATGGTCATTCCAGCTCCCTAAAACTCTGCTCAACATATTTTGGTTATATCTTAGGGTTAACTTTTGGGGCCCTATAAATAAGGGTCTGTATGCCAGCCAACCCCACCACTAAATTTGTCGGTGCTGAAGGACCCGCAATATGTTTCAAAGGGGTTCCCCTCCAAAGTCCAGCTTGCTGGATTTGAGGGCCAATGTTCTGCCCCCCCCCCCCCCTCCCCCGACCACACCCACTACTAGTAACACGGCAGACTCCCATTTGCATGCGTAGGTCAGCACGCAGAGCAATGCGGGCCAGGTTACCCACTTCCAGAGCCACGTATTAATTCTGTGCACCTTTCTCTATTGCTTAATGCACAGTGCAGAAAAGTGTCATCTATATAAACCAGAGACATATGCATTATATAAATATTTAGTGAAAAATCAATCTGTGGTAGAGCTTGAATGTAATGCCAAGGTAACGCTGTATACATGGAATATTGGCAATATTTACGGGTATACCCCTCCAGGATCCATAATTTAATTGATGGTAAAAATTATGTGATAAAGGCCCCCAACAAACTTACCCAAAATTCTCCCGGTTTTCATAGAACCCCAGCTCAAAACCAGATGAATTGGAATCCTACTTCTTCTCTCTGTAGAATATCGTCTCACTGCTGGGGCTCAAACGTCTTGTTCACTTACTGCGCATTCATCGTCATAGCACTTGAAACACCGCCGGATCAATAGCAGTCAAAATAGTTCCACAGCGTGACAAAAGTCCCTAGTAGAAAGTACAATAGACTTGACTACAATGGGACACGTACTGTTGAAATTCGGTGTGCTTGTACAGCAAGCCATGATTGTTTTGTTTGCTACGTCCGCGTCTCGATATAGTGCCGAATCGACAGCTCAATGAAAATGCCTTTATTGGAAATGAAACTTTATTACAGAAAAATCCTCTGCGACTGCGATTTTTTTTTATTTAAGTTGCTGAATGAATATTGATTCGCCTATCCAAAAACGACATACTGTAGTAAATGCTATGCCCAACTAATTTATTTGAAAAGCAAAGACGTTGATCTAAGCAAGGAGTTATAACAGACTGTTATAACTCCTTGATCTAAGTCAACACTTTGTTTGGGTTAGCATTAAAAATTAGAGAGTTACATGCAGTGTGTGTGTGTGTGGGGGGGGGGGGGATACTGGGATACGGCAAAAGTTGAAATGACACTATCTGAATCATTTCTGGATATTTGTAACTCAGCTACGGTGAAATCTTACAATATGAGGTGATTTTAAAATAATTTTTTATAGATAGGGCCTACCCTGTTTATAAAGTGGCTTTTCCTTTAAATAATTTTATTTCACTATTAATGGACCGGGTTTATTAATCACGAGGGTTTTATTTGTTAACCAATCAATTTCTTTTCGTATCTTTTCAATAGAATTATTATTAAACATATCGTTTAGGTCACTGATTTACAAACTTGTGCAATTTTAAGTTAGAAAACAATTTTAAAATGGAGATAGATTAAATCCGACTTTTTACATGATCATTCATCGACAATCTAAGATAATTTTAACAGCTAACAGCTATTTCACGACCAGTGAATGGCAATTTTAGACAATATTAGTTTTAAGCCAGGTGGATAGGTAACTGAATAATAGATAAGATTCCAGGTTACGACTATTCTATATTGATTGACAATATTAACCTTTGGAGATCCTACTGGCTGTCAGGTATAGGCTACTGGTGCGTGTCATACCAAATTGATTAACAAGAGTGAAAAGCAGGGGGTTTCCCAGTAAGTGTACCCGGTATTTCAAAACATCTTTCATTGACACAAAAATGATCTAGAACTCGACATCTTTGAAACATTCGTTATAATATTGTAATATACCCCACCTCAAACAACATCATAAAATGATAAGACATGAACAAAAACAAATAACCAGGAAGTTTAAATGAATAACTAACATCCGCTGCCAAAATAAGTTTAATTTCTGCCAACAATTCACAGGCACTCTCAATTGAAATATTTTGACCGAAGGTCGTTGGACCAGAAGGTCGTTTTTTAGCGTTAAAGCGTTTTGCCATAGCTGTTATTGGTAAGAATGATGTTCATTCACATATAATCTATTCACCATTAACGGGCAAAATCTTTGACCTGCCACAGTACTTAATTAATAAAAACCACTTCTTCGCCCTCATGTCTTAGCTCCTAGTACCCTCAGCTTAAAATCTTTTCTTCCTACAACACTTGATTTCACTACTTGACGTTACACAACACAATCATAATACAGGCCTCACAAACGGATTAGACGTTTGTGTACTCGAGCCTCAGATTTGTGAGCACGAATGTCCAAATTAAAGAGTCGAGCCACGAATTGAATAACCGAACGTAAAATTAATAGCCACGAGCACAAGGTTCCGACACGCAGCCGCTCTGACGCTGTCTTCGTGTCTACTAATTTTGCGTTGGGGTACTGGAGTTGTTAATTTGGACATTCGTGCTCCCAAATCTAAGGCAATTAATTGGTACTTGTAGCATACGGCAATTATCGTATATGAGGCCTGTGTACAGCCCCATTTTGCAACCATTTTTTT